AGTAAATTCCACTTGCCATTGTGTTGTCTGTTCCCCTAAATAGTTTAGGTCTCACTGAAGTTCTGAACAATCCCCTCTGGACTTGACTAACCTTAAATAACTTTGTGTTACCTGCAAATTTTGCTAATTCACTGCTCACACCCCTTTACTGTATCGTTACTAATTATATTAAACACCACAGGACCTAGTTCAGGACCTTGAGGAACCTGCTGTTAATTATAATGATAACTAGCCATTTATTCCTATCCTTTGCTTTCTGTCTCTTGAGCAGTTTTACAGGCACTAATCCACTCAAACCTGACACCTTAACTTCTCGTTCACATCATTTTTGTGTTTTGGTCTTTTTGTTTTGCTTTGTTTTGGAAATAAAATTTACACAAACCAACCTCTGGGATCTAAAACCTCTGGACCTTGTGGAAGGTGTGGTAGCACTGCACGCAGATCACCTTTCTTCTGTGTATTAAGCACACCAGTATTGGTACTGTTACCATCTCTGACCCAAGCAACTAGCCAAAAAATCAAGGTCTTACAGGTTTTCCCAAGTAGGAGGAGTAATTGACGATGGAGTCCGGTACCTTTAATGCATTCCTGTTTCATTACAGAGAATGTACAAAGGCCTGTTTCCCTGATTGCTGGAGGAAGTAAAAGAACAGGAGGCTGTGTCCTTGCTCACATCCCCAGCCCAGAACTCACTCTAGGGATCTTCAAGTCTACCCCATGCTTCCAGTCTGCTGCCGCTTGGCTTTCTTCCTCTGCTTCTCTGCATCTGCAGTCCTGTGTGTCTCTCCATGTGCTCTCTCAGTTTATTTCTGCACTTGTGCTTGTCTCACGGACACACACCTCATCCCGGTCATACAATACCCACTGGCACCCCTCCCCCCAATAGTGCTAGTTTCTAGGTAGAGTCCACTTTGCCTTGTTTAGGTAGAATTCCTCACTTGTCTCTTACAGATATCTTAAATGGTGGGAACATTCACACCCATCAGTTTCAACAAGGTTTTAATTCAACCCATAACAGTTGCTGTTGATAGTACTGATTCACAGAATTATCCAGATGAGACAAACAACCCTCTCTCCTATTAAAGTCAAAAGCACAATTGTAGTTTTGGGTTGTTGTTTTTTGTTTGTTTGTTTACTCAGGGTCAAATTTGTGTCCATCTGAATAATCTGAATAAGAAGAAAGAAGAACTTCTGGGAATTAAATCGAATGAGGAAAGGCAGAGTCAGAAACACCAGGTAGGTGCTCATAATCATTAACCACAAGGGTGTATGACTTTGGCAGTTATGGGAGGTTTGGGGTTTCTTTGTGACTGTGGCACTGTGAGAGATTGTGTCTCTCTCCAGACATCTGTTGCTGTGTATGCATGTACAGAATGTATTTTCTAAATGCATCTATTCCTCTGTGTGTCACCAGATCAGAGAGTGCACACACACTGTTAGTGTTCCAGGAAGGGACATGTAGACATCATGATTTCCCCAATACATCTGCTTTGTTAAGAGTTTGTCTCTTCTCTCCCATCCCACCCACACACACTTCCCTGGCCTCTACAAAGCCTCTCTCAATAAGTCTCTGCCAGGGTAATTCGAAGTCTTGCTTCCCCTTCTGCTGTTAGAGTGACCTGGATTGCAAGAAGCCATTAATGATGACACAGATAACACACTAGTAACATAAACTAGGGCTGACCAGGAGGCTATAGGAAAAACTTTGCTCTTGTAATGCTAGAGGGTGCTACTCAGGAATTGCCTCATGCTAATTTGTTATGGGTTACAACTAAATTCTCCCATCTACACGTGGAGACCTTTATGAAAAATCTCAGGACTCCCCATGTCGCTGACCCACCCTGTCCCTGTCTGTATCTGTTCATTACAGGAAGAGACAGAATCTGTGAGGAAGGAAATCATGTCAGAATTTGAGGAACTGGAGAAGATTTTGCAGGAACAAAGGCAACCTTTGCTGGCCCAGCTGGAAGAGCTGACCAAGGACATTGTGAAGAGGGAGAATAAAAACATCACCAAACTCCTCGAGGAGATTTCGTTTCTCAGTAACCTGATAAAGGAGTTGAAAGAAAAATGGCAGCAGCCAGCGAGTGAATTCCTGCAGGTGAGGCAGATTATACACCCTCAGTTCCCTGCAAGGAAACACTCCTGAACTATTGAATATGAGTATTGTTCATTTCTCAGGCTGGCTGGAAACAATTCCATTTCACAACAAGTTTCAAGGTTTCAAAATGGTTTTTGTTCCAGTATAGAATGAAAACAACATTTTGAAACTTTTCACAAAAAATAGTGAGAAAGAGACTCAATAGTCTGGTGGTTGGGGCAATGGCATGAGTAGAGTCAGAGTCAAGCCCAGACTTTGCCCAATTCAGAGCAGAGACTTGACCCCGGAGTCTTGCTTTCTGATGTATTCCAGCCTGGAGATGAGAAAATGTTGTTGAACCAGATTCATTTCTGCAAAATATTTCTGTTTTTATCAAAGGGTGTTTTTCAATGGAAAAAATGTCATTGAAAATTTTTCAACCAAGTATAATATTAATTTAAGTTGCCAGCTATATACTGAGAGATGCATATAGAACTCATGTAGCGAAGGCAAAGTTAGTGCCCTGCAGAGCAGGAGGGATGCAAAGTGCGTAACATGTGGACTGACCTCTCCTCTCTCACTTTCTCCCATCTAGGACATCAGAAGCACCTTGAACAGGTATGTTGCTCATTCTCAACCCCCCCCCCCAATACTTCACTATGCTGGAAGAGGCCTAGAAACCATGTTAAAATGGCATCTCCTTAGTGCATGAGAGTGAACTGTGCAGGTCAGGGTCATGCTTCAGATGCAATTTTCCCTCTGAGTTTAATCCTGAGAATTTATCATTTTATGATTCATCCTACAGAAAGGATTATTAACCTGAACATATGTTCTGCATAAATTGAATCTCCAGGAGATTGGAGGTATCTCTATTTTAGGGGTGGACTATGGGCCTTTCACCTCGTCACTGGTCACAGTTCTAACAACATTTGTAGTTTAACAAGATTTTTTTTTACAAGCTGGTGACTCCTTGGAGGTGAGTTTGGAGGGAGTGGGTATCAGTCCAGCTCCCAGTGGGCCAATGTTCACAGCACAGAAACCTCCAGAAATGTTGGAAACACATTGACTATCAAAGCATGGAGGCAAAGGAGTGAATGTCGCTGTGGAGACTGAAATCCCTTTCTAGCTGAGAGCTGGTCTTTGCAGTGGGGGGGCTGGGGGTTTGGCAGGGGGGGATCGGCGGTGCGGCGCTCCGCGGGGGAATGGGGGGTAGCCTTGCAGTGCTGAGGGGGTGTGTTATGGCGGCGCTATGGACAGCGGCACTCTTTTTTTTTGCTTGGGGCGGCCAAAAAGTTTAGAGCCGGCCCTGCCTCCAGAAATGTTGGAAACACATTGACTATCAAAGCATGGGGGCAAAGGAGTGAATGTCGCCGTGGAGACTGAAATCCCTTTGTAACTGAGAGCTGGTCTTTGCAGTTCACGGTTCAATTATATTAATAGGCCATTGGCAAAGCTGGGTAGAAATCTTGCAGTGCCATAGAATATGCCGTACTGGTTTGAGATAGCGATAAACTAAAGCATTGGGTCTCCTTTGCCAACAACTTTCCCTAGTATGAAATAATAAATTATCACACACAATAATGTTGCTCTCTAGATGCAAGCAGGTGAAAGATCGGCCACCGGTGGAGATTTCACCTGAAGTGGAAGAGAAACTAAGTACTTTGCACCAAATTGGTATTGTTCCAGAGGAGATTCTGAAGAAATTTAGAGGTACTGAGAAAGGCTCTAAAGGGTGAAACTGAGATATGTTTCTGTGGCTATAGAAGGAGACAGGTTCTATCAAATTCTTAGAGCAGCTAATTGTGAATGGTGATGGGATTGTGATGTACAGTAGTTGTGACAATGGCAAAGTGTGCACAACGGGTGAGGAAGAAAGGGTCATGCCCTGTGAAGTGACTTGACTTTTCATTTCCTTGCTTTGTGTAAGATCTGTTACGTTTGTGTGTCATAACCTTTGTTGTGTTACATCAAAGCCTTTTGTGTATTCATTACCTAGGGGTTCAATATTTAAGCTAGGGGAGCACAGTGGGGGTTGTTCAAAGCTGTGCCACAGAACTGCACTTGTAGTGGAGATGATCAGCTGCTGCACGTCTCTGGCAAATAAAACCTCTGTCAGGAGCTGCATTGAAAGCTTTCACTGCTGGAGGAGAAAATCTGCCAGAAGAGTGTAGCTAGTGACAGAAGGTTTTGTCCATATGCCATAGAAGGCTGTATCTGTTGGCTACCCACTGGCACTTATACTTTCAGATATAATGCACAATGGCTAAAAGAGACCTTAATTTAAAAAGCAAAATTGTACTCACTGCACCAGATCTACTCAAGATTAATCTCTATACCAAGGTGTGTGTAGTTAGACAATCTTTTTTAAAAGATATTTGACAAAACAAGTCTAACTGCTACAAATTTCAGTCATAGACTAAATTTTCAAATCCTTCACTTCAAACCTGACACTTCCTATTACGTTTATTAAAAGAAATCAAACAAAAACCACACAGAAAATTCAAAGGGCATAAAAACTAACACTCTGTGAAATTTTACACTAAAGGCCACCTACATTTAGAGAGAAATTTATTCCCCATTTTAAAGCCCATTTTCATAATGTTACCTTAACTATGAAGCAACAACCACCAGGGTTCCATAATACCAAGAGTGGGAGACGTGGATGGGTTAGAGTTCTATAAAATCCTGATTTGGGGCCATGTTTATGGCCCTGTCTTGCCATCTCATGTTGACATCCCCGCGTTCACATGCATGAAAGTAATGGTTTATCAAAACTGGTTAATCTAGACAACTCTCATTAATTCTTCAGTGCTTTCATGGTCCTTCAGAGCTAGACAGAATGGCCAATATAGGCAATAATAAAATCAGTATTTTATTACCCACTTAGCTCACATTCCCAGCATACACAAAAGGGAGTGGGTGTGATGAAGGTACAGATCTGATTTCCTTCCTGAAGACACCCTATCCAGCCAATCCCTGCTGTCCTCTCTCCCCTGACTGACTCTCATCCACCCAAGCCCTGTCCTTGCAGCAATGGAACCTAACTCGGTGGGTCAGAGAGATACGTCACCTCCCTGGTAGTGTTAAAGCTATGACAGTGCCCTCAGCGCTGGTGAGTTGTAGGAACAATTTATATAGAACTTTGAATCCTTAGATCTCTAAGAGCTCTGCAATGTGAGGAAGTGACTTAAAGGGGAAAATAGGAACTCACCTGTGCTTTTTTGCAGATTTTTCCGTTTCAAAATTGTGGGAAATATGGGAAGTGCACTGAAATCAATATACCTGTTGCAATTGAGAAAGTGAATTAATATCATTACAAATTAGACACTGATAATGTGTTTTCTCTGGTTTTCTTGCTAGCTGCTTTAAACAGGAAACAGGAACCAGAGACTCAGCATGCCACAGTCTCAGGGAAGAAGAAACTTTGCTCAGGTATTTTCTCTGACAGTCCTTTCTTCTTTCTTTATTAAAAACATTATAAAGTATTAGCCAATATGAGACAAGTTAAAAATATTCACCAGCTGTTCCCTAGTTGCTGAGGAGTTAAGTGTCCGGATTACTACTTTCCCTGTGAGAGCCCTAGCCACTGAGCTATGGGGTATTCTGGTGTGGGTTTCCCTCCATCTCTCCTGCTGAAACTGTTGCACTGTAGATAAATACATTAATACTCACAGGAACAGGGTGTCGGAGAAGAGTCACAAGAATGATTAAAGGATTAAAAACATGCCTTTTAGTGATAGACTCAAGGAGCTCAATCTCTTTAGTTTAACAAAGAGAAGGTTAAGGGGTGACTGGATTACAGTTTATAAATACCTATTGGGTGGGGGAACAAATATTTAATAATGGACTCTTCAGTCTATCAGAGAAAGATATAACATGAACCAATGGCTGGAAGTTGAAGCTACACCAGCGGTTCTCAACCCGCAGCCTGCATGTGGCCCTATTAGCACACAGCTGTGGACCAGCTCAATTGTGTGCTAAAGGCTGGCCCACATGCCGGGGTCCCGGGTTCCTGACTGCCCAGCATGGAGGGGTCTGGGCTGCCCTGCCACCCAGTGCAGCAGGGGCAGGGGTGGGGCTCCTGGCCGGCCCAGTGGGATCAGGGGCCTGGGGCAGCTGACTCTTTCATTTGATTGTTTATACTTTATTAACTTCTCTCTCACACTGAACATGTCAGCCAGCACAGCTGAGTTATCGTGGGTTCTGGTAATTTGCTGCTGGTAGAGGCCAGCCATAAATTACTGTCTCCCAACAGAATGAGGGCAAAGCAGGAGGGGAACTGTGCCCTAACCCTTGTCTAGATTTAGAAAAATGTGTATGTTCGAACTAAGGTAGCTACCTAAAGTTAGCAAACCTCATTAGAAACACCATTTGCCACTTTGTGTAGATGCACTTTTACACCTTTTAAAATGTACTAACTGACTGGGTTCAACCCTAGGGCCCTGTGCAGCTGTTTTGTTCTTGTTGTAATGGGAGATAATTGGTTGCAAATTAATTTGAGTAAACACAAATGATCATAAACACTAATGGAGACCACGCACAAAAATTTCATTAAGACAAACATTTGTTTCTGGTTCATATGATGCGTGCTGGATAATAGCAAGAGGAGACTCTACCCTCAAGCCAGGTCTACACATAAAATTTAGATCAACCTAGCTACCTCATTCTGGTGTGTGAAAAATTCCCACCCCCATGCTGTAGTTAAGCCAACCGAACCCCCAATGCAGACATGGCGAGGTCAACCAAGCTCCCACTGCTCGGGGTGGTGGGTTACCTACATCAATCAAAAAAACCCCTTGCATTGTTGTAGGAAGTGTCCGTAGCACCCTTAGTGTGGACATGGCCTGAGTTAACTCTACTGGCACTTTTTTAAAGCAGCTGTTTGTTAAACTGCAGTAGGAGCAGCTCTGTGATCTAGCCACATGCACGTAGAATG